TTTTTTTTTTTTTGTCTTGTTTTTTTACTTTTATTAGTATACATTTGCAGTACATAATAATTACATTCATTGTAGGGGATTGATACATGTACATAACACATTTCAATTCTTTTTTTCTCTCTTCTCTCCACTCCCTTTTATTTTTCCAGCTTTAGATTCGTTTATTTATACGACTTTATATGGTTAATAATCATATGTACAGATTGAAAAGCAGACCAATGGGCCCAAAAACATGTAAGAGAATTATACTAACTTAAGGTGCACTTTTAGATTCATCTTGCTCTTGCATCTTTCCTGATGTGTGTGTGTCCCTGGACAGAACTGTTCTGAGTGTCATCATCCATCTCTAGAACAGACGCAAGAAAAATATTCACCTCTTCCTGATATTTTTAGAAATAGAGAAGATTGTGTGTATAAAATATCTAGAATGGTCTCTGGCATGCTGTAAGCCCTTATTAGATAAAAATACTCCCAAGAGGAAGGGGGAAAGGGAAGGAGGAATAGGACAATGAAGACTAGAAAGAGGAGGAAGAATAGGATGAGGAAGATGAGGAGGGAGAAGAGAAGAGAGGAGAGGAGCGGACGGGAGGGGAGGGGAGGGACATCATAACAAAGCTACAGTCAGAGCAGAACTGGTTTTGAACTCTGAATCTACCCCTCCTAGCTGCCCTAGGCATCATTTCACATTCTGAGTTTTTTCAGGATAGTCAATGGGGATAAAATAGAAGCTATGAGATACGTGGAAAGCATGTGACTGGTGCCCAACAGATCCAATACCCAATCACTGTTACCTGCTGTCTCTGAGGACTGTGATATGAGGACTCAGACTGGCTGTGCTTTCAGCTAATACGCTGTGGCCTGGCTGGTTATTCGTGAGGAACTGGGTGGGCTACAGAAAACCCCTGAGCTCATCACTTAGGATAGGAATACTGGTGGCTTCAAACACTGGGATTTGACTGCTTTTCCCAATAGCAGTAGGAAGTGTGCATAAACAGTCATCTTTGAGTGGCAGAACACTGCCTTCCAGCACTTAAATTCCAATCAGGGACTCTCCTGCTTTGTGGGTGATCCCCACTCCCAACACTAAAGCTTGGAGAAGTTCGACGTTATTCTATCTTCACTCCTAGACCCTGACCTTCTTTCTGAGCCTTTGGCTCTTTCACTTAGGACCTTAAATTTGAGAATAAGGGGTCAACACTATCAAGCTTGAGTTTTCAGAATGATTTTCAATGAGAGGAGGAAGATGAAGATGTCAGGGTCATTTGGTATTAGTGTGTCATTGTTTTGCCTATTCCTATGCTGCCCTAAAAAATCTGATCAATTTTACAAAATAAACTTATTTTGCAAATAAGCAAATATAATGTTTTTTCCAAGCCTGAAATAAGTGCATGTTTTGCTATTTTGTTTTGTTTCAGAAGACGTGTGTTAAGCACAAAGGCCAAACTATGACTCCACATTTCATCCTTGGCAAATATAAATAAAAATTGGACTATGGGCCAGTAAGGTAGGAATAGTATTTATCCATGCACGTGCTGATAAATAAGAATTCATTTTTATTTGGCAAGAATAAAGTATATCCTTTTCTAAGTATATCCTAGGCACTGAGGAGAAAGAAGTTTTAAAAATATTAAATTAAAAAAATTCACAGATTTCTGTTTTCTTTAGTTAGCTAAAATAAGGTCTGTTTAAATAGGATATACAAATGCTTTCAGAGTATTTGAATATGGAACCTCCAGAGAGAATTTGTGAATGGAAAATACTTTCCCACTCCTCCTGAGTCATCTCGCTCAGGTGATGAGGAAAAGCTTGGAGAGCTGCTGGAGGGGTTAGAGGCAGCTGACTGCCAACCCTCACCCATTCTAGAAAATCATGCATTCATCTGTTTAGCAAATATTAACTGGATGTCTGTTGCTTATCAGATATTGATCTATGTGCTTAGGGTACATGAGTGAACCAACAGGCAAAATCTCTGCTCTTGTGAAGTTTCTATTTCAGAATGTAGACTAAAAACAAGAAGTATCATGAAGAAGTAAATGGTGCCATGTGATGGAGCATGATGTGGCAGAGCCCTGTGATTGGTGAGCCCAGGCCAGAAGCAGCTCAGAGACAGGAGGCTGAGGTAGAAGAGGAAGCCAATGGAAAGGGCCTCAAGAGCAAGGACTTAACTCCACCCACCTGAAGCCGACAAGGAAGGGGGAGTGGAAAGTGTTATGGACTAGCTGGGATGGAATGTAGCTTTCACTCTTCGTGAAATGGGGGTATATTGCGTGCTCTCATGATGGCATCATTCACATGTCAAGTGTGTCTTTTCCTGAACTGTGCTAGAAGGACATAGTGCTGTGTGGTGGACAGAGTGGCTTGTACAACATTGCTTCCTTGCCCACATGTCAAGATGGGCCTGGAAGCATGTGAATGAATAGAATTAAAGACCTTCATCTAGTTCGGACAAGAACTAAGAGAACTTATAGGCTGTCTCCTTGGGTAAGACAGGCACTCAATTATTCCAAAGAAATGAAACCTTTCTGATACCTTTTAAAGAAAAATACAAAGTCTTGATTGAATTACCTATTTTTCTCCTTCCTGTGATGGTCCACTTGGCTGGCTCATGGTGCCCAGTTGTTTGTTCAAATACCAGTTCAGATTGCCCTGAAGATGTTTTGTAGATGAGATGAATACTGAGATGGATCATCTTTCAGTAATGCAGATGATCCTCCATAACATGAGTGGGCCTCACCTAATCATCTAACAATCTTACAAGTGAAAACTGAGGTTCACTAGGGAAGAGAGAATCCTACTTCCAGAACTGTTCCAACTAGAGATTCAACATGAGTTCTTCCCTGTCCTACACAGCCTTCCCTGTAGCTTTTATCCTTGACAAACTGCAAGATTCCCAAAAATGTGTGTATGTTTGTATACATATGTTTTATTATGTACATGTGTGTGCCTATGGGTGTGTGTTTATAAATATGCATGTACAAACATTTGTGTGTGTATGTGTGTGTATTGTGTATGTGTATACCCATCTCCCCACTGGTTCTGTTTCTCAGGAAAATCCTGATTGATAACAGTTCCCCAGGATTCCTTTTTTTGTCATCAAGTAACCACCTTTGCATTCAGATCTTCTCTTTGTATATGTGTGGGGGGGGGTTATCGTTTTGTCTTCCCAGAATGTATAACCTTTTAGGGTTTGTCTTAAAATTTTAAACTAGAAATAGGGATACTCAAAACCTTACTATTATTTCTATTCCCAAATAAGTCTTAAAACCATACCCTCCCTACTGTCCTTGTTGCCTGTAAAACAGATTTCTCTCTGTCACTCACTATGCCGACCAAGTCCCAGCCCATGTGGCTGGCAGAAGTAATTCATCTCCAGCTCCCTCATAGAGCCTCTGGATCACAGCCCTCCTTCACCCATACTCGGCTTCTCCCTCCCTCTCCTTCTCTTTGTACTAACATTGTGCATTAGCTATACCAAAAAGAAAAAGAAAAAAGAAATCCTTCTGAATGATAAATTAGCATGCACATTCTTTCTTACACGTGGCGGAAATTCTATCCTAGCAACAGGCACCAAATTGAATGTTATCCAGCAAGGATCCCTGGTTTGTTTTCTTCCAGAAATTGAAACATCCAGACTTTTCCACATTCTTTACTGTTGAGAAATGCCTTTTTCGATGGAAGAAGATGGGAAGTTGTCTAGGAAAAAAGATCCCTTTGCTATGATTTGTGGGGAGGTTGTGACTCTGCCCAATGGACATTTTGAAACCATCTCCTGTATGATAGATGCTTTCAGTGTGCTGCACATGGTCAGCTTAGGTGACTGCCTGAGTGTCAGTAGGAGGAACTGTTACATGTTCTGTTCAGCTTATCTTCAGAGAAGCCTCACAGGTATGATACACAGATCCAGCACTGCAGGTGATAAGGCAAGGGTGAGGTAATTGAGTTCTAGCTAAGAACTGATTTAGGCAGATAAATTTTGGGTTAAAACCAGATGACCTGATCCTTCCCTTAATGTCTTCTATGCTGCACAAGCCTCAGCTACTGGCAGAAGAAAAAGAGGGACCTCAAGTTGATACATAAACTGACCTTGAATTTGAGTAATAATTTACAGTCAATTTTAGGTAAAAATAAGGGACCATCCTTCTCTCAACTTTTCTTACCTGGGAAGGAGTCAGATTGGAAAGGGAATTCTGGGCTCTAACCCAGCTCTTGCCTGTTTGCCCTGAGGAGCTAAAGAGTTTCCTCCTGACCTCTGGTGATGCTTTCTTGAAGCTAGCCTGGGCTCCCAAAGTTGGCAAAGGGCAGGAACAGGGAGAAACACTTGGGCCAGGGATTTAGCTCAGTGGCACCATGCTTGCCTCCCAAGCACAAGATCCTAAGTTTGACCCCTGGTTCTGGGGGTGGAGGGAGGGGAAAAAAAAAACACTTTTTGATCTCCTTCAGGTTAAAAGCTATTTGAGTTCACAGTTTGGGAAAAGATATATGGTAAAGCTGTTCCCATAAAGTGGCTAATAGCTCAGTGATTTTACCTAAGCAGTGGTACTATACATGAATTCAGCCTCATATCTGGCTATGCTCCCTCTTTCCTTTTAGGAGATAGGACTACAGGTTTCATGGGTTCACTTTACAGATGCAGAGAAAAGTTTGCACTTTTAAAATAGCATCAATCCTGTGGTTACCACAGAATTATTGAATGGGTACTATTCAGGACTGTTTGGTGCTTTGGTGAGTGCTGTTGAGGACTGTTGGGTGCCCTGGTGGGTGTTGGCGAAGGCCTTCCATTCCATCATGGGTGCTGCTGCTGATGAGTGCCATGGTGGGTGCCACTGAAGACTGTTGGGTAACATGATGGGTGCTGCTGGGGACGGTTGCAATTGGGTACATGGTAGGGGCTCTTGAACACTCCTGGGTACCATGATGAGTCCCATTGGGTACTTTTAAGCACACCCATGGGACTCAGATGGAAAAAACAATCACATAGATCATGGTCTTTGTTTTTTCTCTTAAGGAGTACGAACATCTTCCTCAAATGTTAAGAAAACCTCATCATGAAATTTCCTCTCTAAAGTTTTGGAAATATTATAGCAAAGAGAAACTTAGGGCCAAATGTGATATTTTGCAGGTCCTAAATGTAAGTGAATTTCTATTTAAAGAGCAAAAAGGATCAGCACTCAGCTGTAGCAGCCTGAACTGAAAACCAGTGGGGAAAATTACACTCTTCACTGTTGCAGAAGGCAAACTTCCAGCTACAATTTGAGGTGTTTTCTCTGGAGATAGGTATCTCACAAGTACAATAAGAAAAAAGAATGGAGCCTATGCTTACATAAATTGACCTTGAACTTAAGTCATACTCTGTAGACAATTTTTAGGTAACGATGGGGAAAAACTGGACAATTCCTACTATTATGCAGCACATACACATAAAAAATAGTTCATTTCCAAAATTCGTTATAGTCTGCCTAAAACTATCTATTTCCTCTTGAATATTTTAGGGTGAACAATTTGGAGAAAATGCTTCTCTGTGCTAATATCTTGACATTGCTATGGAGTCTGTAATTCTGAAGGTTCTCAAATTACTTTCTAAATTGCATGTGAAAAGCTCCTAGATAGAATTTACAGGGGACTTTCCATATTGGCATATTAGAGGCCCACATTTGGATTTTTTATGAACATAATACCTATGTAAAAAAAAGGAATATAAAAGCTAGTTTCCTAATGCATAGTTCTATGTGGCTGTTTTAAAAATGAAAATTTTAGTAGAGGAAAGGAAAGGAAAAAAATATGAGAAAAGGAGAAAATGGAAACAAAATTGTTGTAAATAGGGAGGCGTAGAAAGGTTGAAGGGAGGGCAGGGGAGTGTGGAAAAAAATAAGAATCAAGATACATCATGTAAAGGTACAAATTCCAAATGATGAATGCCATTATATTGTGTACCTTAAATGTACCAATGAACTTAATGAATATAAATGACAACTTAAAACGAAACATTTCAAAATGACATTCTCTTGGCTTCAATACCAACTTTAACAATTGCCTTGGAAAAATATGCTTTATGTCTCTGTGTGTATTTTCTCTTAAAACAGGTTTGGTGTCAACTGGAAAATTTCTTAAAAACATGTTCTTCTCTGAATGGGACTACGAATTTGTTTGCTAACAACTTCCAAGTAACCCTGGTGCTCCCACCCAGTGTAAGACCATGACTTCAAGAACACAAAAAAATCTACAATTACTTTATGCATATTTTCCCCTTCTTATAAGAAAAGCAAACTGTGGGTGGGAGATAACTCACAACTGTGAGTGAGTGTTCTGAATACACTGGCTGTTCACCAAAAATTAGCTCCAGGAAAAAAATACAAGAAAAAAAAAAAGAAAGAAAAGAAAATCTTTGTAAATAGGGAAGGGTGGAAGAGGTGAAAGGAAAGCAGAGGAATAGAGAAAAAATAAGAATCAAGATACATCATGTAAAGGTACAAGATCTCAATGATGAATATAACTGTATTGTATATCTCAAATGTACCAATAAACTTAATGAAAAAAAAAATAGCTCTAGTCTGCAGAATCTCAGGGATGGTGCCCTGAATGGATTGGGATTTTTTTTTAACTTTTTATGATTTTTATTAGTACGTAAAATTGGTACATGTTTGCAATACATGCAGTTTACCAAAGTGAGAGGATGTTACTTGGGAACCAGAAGGGTTGGTCTTATTAAGCATTGCCACTGTTGCTTGTCTTTCAGGTGCGTTATCTGCTAGGGCAGTGAGACACTTGGAAAGGCTCACTGAGATCCTACACCCACTGAATGGCAATATGCCCACTTATACCATGGTAATGGATTTATTTTTTTTTCAAAATTATGTATTATCCAAGAAGAGTACAATGTCTCCCAGAACAATAGATGAGATTACAGAACATGTATTTCATGTAATTATAATGAAATCCCTCTAGGTTGTTCTTGATCTGATTTTGATTTGTTGATTTTCCACCAGTCTATAAAATTAGTCAAATTTACCTATTGCTAACTACTGAATGTTGCGTCCTTCTCAAATTCATATGCTAAAATACAACCACAGATATGATAATGTTAGGAGATGAAACTTTTGAGAAGAGCCTACATGAAGATGGAGCCCCCATGGATAAGATTAATGTCTTGTTAAAACAGGTCCCAGAGAACTCCCTCTTCCCTTTGCCAAGGGAAAACAGTAAATCAGCTTCTATGCACCAAAATGATACCTCCCATCATGCACTCACCCAGAACTCAATAAATATTTGTTCAGAGAACAAGCAAATGAATCAATGACTTTTCCCCAAGTCACACTATCGTTCTGATTCTGAAGCCACCCTCTCCTAGTGGGGCTTTGGCTCTTTGGCAAGCTATATTCATGCTGGATATTCTATGATTTGAATTGTGGGATGTGTTGGCAGTATTATCCATTATTTCTGCATTACCAGGTAGTGGCCCCAATCCCTTTGTGGTTTTTCCACTGTCCTTTCCAGAGAACTTTCAGGAACATGAATTGGATATTGGAGTGATTTTGCCCAAAGGCCATATTCAAGAATTAAGTGAATATAATGAGTGTATGAAGTTTGACTTTTAACAAAATTTATTTGACTTTACTGTCACATTGAAAATTCTATACACTGTTTGTTAACTTTAAATTCCTTTCAAAAATCTACTGTGGTATCAGTATTGTATTTAGAGCAGCACTGTAATCAGTCAAATCAGTGAAGTCTGATGTTGACTTCCTTAAAGTTAAATGTTAGCTCCATGTACACAGCTGCAATTTCTGAGTTATCTTTTTTTATTAAATATACGCACTAGTATAAGAAATAGGCTAATCAGTATTCCTATGTAATCTGCATTATACTGCTCTTTGTAATTTTTAAATACCTTTCAATTCTCCCCTTCACCAAAAATTTAATTGGGGGCTATGTGAATCACCGGCATGCATG